GCTAACAACCCCACCCATCCGGGAACCCTTTGGGCCGCAGGAGAAGGAACAGATGGGAGCTTAGGTGGGGAAGCAAAGGCCCTTGAGACAAATTCACCACCTCAGTAACTGCAAGTTCTGTAAGAGAACTAAAGAGGTGTTTTAAATGGCCTCCAAGTTGAAATCTGTTAGTTTCCCAAATCCACAATTCCCCAAAGCAGAGCTGAAATCTGTTTATGAGGAACAATGAGCCAGCTTCTTGGCTGAGGTGAGTCTGGCAGAAGCACAGCACTATCAGAAGTTCCAGCCTGGGCGAGCAGCATTGCATCACTGGCCTGGGAGTTTCCCTGCTAGTTGGAGCGGAGTGTCCCCCGGCGTGAAGACAAAAAGACCCAGGATTCCAGACCCAGGAACAACGGCTTCCCTGTCTCCCATGGGACCATTGGCCCAGAGCCCTAGCTCTATAGGAAGGTGGCCAGGAGTACGCCCCACACCTATAGCAGTACACCATTCATGTTGAACCCTAACCATGACCTCTGTGAAGACCATACCTTGTAAGAAATAGCTTCTTATAAGAAGTCACCACTGGGGATGCTTTGACTGAGATACATGACTGAAGGCCCGGGATGGCTGAGGGAATATGAAGGGCTCTTGTGGGACAGCAATGTGCCCTTGATCAGGCCAACAAGAATGTTACGGGCAGGCTCATTTAGACATGGCACTTCCAGGGCAGGCTGGGCTGTGCCAGCAGGGGCACTGGGCACACCCAGTGCTTGAGCTGGGACATCCATCTTCTCCTGCCCTGGGTTAGAGAACTTCCAGGTTTTCCAATCTTTGAACTTGGACTGAATGACACCACCAGTTTTCCATGTTCTTCAGCTTACAGATGGCAGATTGTGGTACTCCTTGCCTCCCATTTGTCAATCCTATGATAAGCTTCTCCTTATATCTCTCTATCCCACTGATTCATTTTCTCTGAAGACCCTGCCTCTAGATTTTGCTCCTTCTGTGCCTCTGGAACAGTGACTCTCATCGTGGACAGATCCATCAGCCATCTGATAGCAAATAATTCCTCACCAACAACTCCTGAGAGCAACATGCACAGATAAATTCATTAGACCTCACAGAGAATTTTAAAATTAAATGATCTAACTTATATAAATTAGAAATAAAAGGTAGTTTCCAGTAAGATGACCTTCATTTTCATGTGAAAATGCTTGGATAAGCTCTCCCTAGAGACTTGATCAACGAGTCAGCGGCCTTCACCTACTTAAACTGAGTAAAGGCTTACTTTAGAAGAAGTTGTTCTTCTTTTTTTTTTTTTAAAGATTTTTTTATTTATTTATTTGTTTGTTTATACATGCACTGGGTACAGTCAGAAGCGCGGGAGGGTGAGAGAATTCACCAGAGCCAGAGCGGGGAGCAGAGCAGGCAGAAGGACCGAAGCACACTGCTGAGGGGAGCAGCGGGCGGCAGGAGAGGTCTGCGCGCCATGTGGGACCCTCCTCCGGTGGCCGGGGAGCAGCCGGGGATCGAACCGGCGCTGCAGAGGCTGCGGGCAGCTTCGCAACCCAGCGCTCTACCGCTGCGCCACCAGGGAGGCCCTAGAAGAAGTTGCTTTTCCTATAACTTTTTGAAATAAGGTTAAGCATTGCCAAGCGGAAACGATTTTCAAAAATTCTGAATAACTCAATAAAATGCCAAAGGAAAAAAAAATGCAATCTTCCCAGAATGTATATAAGGTGCTGGAAAAGAGCAGCGCTCGAACCACCGCGACAACTACAACTGTGTGCGTGTCCGTAATAGACGCTGCGCAAGGCCGGGCTCTTTCCCCAACAGTATTGCATCCACAGCGGTGTCTGGAAGTAAGTTTGCAGATCGTGTGAGATGCAGGACAACTCGCTGTCCTTCAAGATTGCTCCACCTTGCAGGGTACCACCGAGCTGCGTCACTGAGACAAGCAGAAGGTGGCCGTACCCCCTGGGGACCACCGCCTCCACCCACCTGGGAGCCCGGCGAGCCGGCTTTTTCCAGAGTTGCAGGAGACAGAAGCCTCAGTAGCTCCTCCGGCCTACCAGGGAGCGTCAGTGCTCTCGTTTGCTCCCAGGAGAAGCCCCATTGTGACTTCTTTGGATTCACCCCGATGCTGCTGGAGACCAGCGCTGCTCCTTTACTCCCCAGGAAAGCCATTCTTACAGATTGTCACAAGGGGGCGCCCGAGACCCCGAATCAGGAGATTTTCAGGTTTGTGCAATGTTAAAATGAAACTACCGGTGCAGGAGAGAGGGGCAAACTGAAAACGCAGTGTGAGAAAGAATTCATGATTTGACTTGTATTGTGCTCAATTGTCTAATCTTTGGCACCGCTGTCCAGTTTTCCAATCTCTGCTGTTAGCACTGAAAGATTTTGTAAGTGGCATTTCCCGTCTCCCAAATAATAAAAAAATATCGGCTTGATATATAAACAGCAACTGTAACAGCCTTCCAGAAACTCCCATGGGAACATGTGCAAGGAATGCCATGGCCAACCAATGGGCTGTTCGTACCATCCCCACACCTACCCACACTTCTCTAGAAATAATAGTGGTTTTGGAGAACTTACTGTGTGTGGTTATTTGGTCTTCTTTACACCAATGACCTTAGTTTATAGTCATCAATAACACTGCAAAGTGGATACTGTTGTGCCGGTGATAAACAGATTGAATGAGGAAACTGAGGCACAGAGAGCTTCACTCATTTGCCGACAGTTATACTACAGGCAAGTGACAGGGATTCATAGAAGAATTCTGGAACGTTCAAGGCCCCCCCAGGCGAGGCGTCCCACCTACTGGAAGGAGCTGCTGCTTTGGAATGACTCAGCCATGAATATACTGCAGAAAATGTGGCAACAGGTGGTTGTTTCTTCAAGATCTACTGTGAGCCCTGAGGATAATACAATTTAAAAAAACTCCAAGGAAAAAAAACAGCATTGTGACTGATTCCTGAATCCAACCAGAGCATTCCACTAGCTGGGTCTGACAAGGCTAGTTCTGCTCTGCTGCTCCCAGCCTAACTACAAATAGTGGTAAGACTCAGAACTGGACAAAGTTTTCAACCTTGGCTGAGTGTTGGTGTTACTGGGGAGTTTAAACAACAAATTGGTGGGCCTCCCTGGTGGCACAAGGAGTTAAGCACAGCACTGTGAAGCTATCCGCAGCCTCTGCAGCATGAGTTCGATTCCCGACTGGCCACAGAGCTACCCACATAGTGCAGCAGACTTCTCCTGTCTCACCCGCTGCTCCCCTCAGTAGTGTATTTCAGTCAATCTGCCTGTTCTGTTCCCCACTCTATCTCTGGTGAATCCTCTCACCCCCCTCCCTCTGGCCTATACCCTAGTCCTTGTTTGCATAAATAAATAAATCTTAGAAAAAAAAAAAAAAAAAAACACAAACTGGTATCTGGGTCTTCCCCAGTCCCATTGAATCAGAATCTCTGGTAGTGAAAAGCAGCCCCTCCCCCACTCCAGGTCTGTGCTAGCCCAGGCCTCACCTTTCCTTACTCCCCAGAGTTAGCACAGTCACCTCCCCTTCATGTTTCATGCTTTGGCGCATGTGCCCTTGTCTGATCTCTCCCATCAGAATGAGAGCTCCTGGCCAGCCTGCTGCACATTTAATCCATTTCTGCCTCCCTCACCCCAGCACCCAGCCCAGCCCACACTGCAGGCAGGGAAACCAGGAGGGAGGTGTGCTGTGTGTCCAGGCTATGCTGTGTCTTAGACAGAGTCTGGAAAGAAAAGGGTCAAGGTATATGCAGAAGCATCCACTGACCAGTCGGCCTTGAGATTTAAGCGGAGGAGAGTTTGGAGCACATGCCCAGCTCCTGGGTTTGGGATGTCCTCCTGGGTGGAGATTCAGGAGGAGCTGGGGACAGAGTTTGGCTTAGATATGTTTGTGGCTACGACACATGAGGCTGCTGAGCAGATGGACATGTCAGCATGGAGGAGAGAAGAACTAAGCCCAAGATGGAGACTTACAGTCATCAGCACAGAGGTGGCATCTGACGCTAGGGGCATGCTTCAGTCTGCATGGAGGCTGAGTGACAGTGAGCCCTGGGGAGGCCAGCATAGAGGAGATGGCTGGGGAAGACTGAAAGAGAAGCTGAGGTTGGAGGAAAGGTGCTCTTCTGACAACCAAAGGAGAAGAATTCCCGTGAGTGAGGGAACCAGAGCAGATGTGGTGAGGAAGGCAAGAACTGAAGCATGTCCTCTACTGCCCAGGCCCTTCACCTCCCTCCTTCCTCCTCAACACATTGCTTTCTCCTCAGAGAGCAGCCATCTTATCTGCTGAGCTAGCAAACCACCGCTCCAGCTCCGAGGCTTCCTGCAGTGAAAGCCAAACATAGGTGTTCCCCTTCCTAAGGGACCGTTTATTTCACTTTGATTCCTCCTGGATGCAGCACTGGGGTGAACGCCAGAGACAGGAGAGCCCCATGCACTAGAGGCAGACCCTGCCGCTAGTCTTTCTGGTCACCTGTTTCTATCATGTCCTTCCCCTCTCTGCATAAATTAAAAACAAATTTCCAGGGAGAGAAATAAGAACAGACATTTGGCTTTTGAACAGATGTCAGGAGAGAGCAGGGCCTATTTTGTAGAATTGGAATAGCGGCGGGGTGGTACCTGAAAGTTGGAATTTCAGGGTGGGGATGAGAGTGAGGTCAGTATTAAATGACAGGAAATCACCAAGGGAGGGATGGTATTTTATTCTCCAGACCATGATGCAGCTTTAACAGGAGTCTTGGACAGCTTAAGGAAGGCCTCGTGAAGTCTCAGATTCGGAGAAGGAGTAATGAAGGGCGAGGAGAAGCAGGAGGAGACTGGGTGGTGGAGCTCTTGCCTCCCCCTCCACCTCCTTGGAGGTGGAGCTGCTTTCTTGGCACCTGAAAACCAGGCTCAGAACCAAGCTTCTGGAGCTGGCTGCCCTGCTGCCCCCGCCTTGTGCCTGCTCAAGCTCCAGCTCTGTTGTCTCTGCTCTCTGCGCCCTGCACCTAGGGCTCCCCTGCTGGAGCCTCAATAGACACAGTGACCCTCACAGAGCCACAGCTCGACTTCAGGTTCCACTCTTGACTGGCGTTGTGTGTCAGTCCTGGGGAATCAGAACTCTGCCTGGAAGACAGCTGGACTGTCAGCCAGTGACACCGGGCCTCATCGCAGGCCAGCACCACTGTGCCCTCAGGGTTGCTGTAGGTGCACCTGCTCCAGGCTGCCTGTTGCTGGGCGGCCAGATCCCAGGCGCACCCTGGATCCCTGTTGTCCAACCCCGGGGCCTGGAAGCCCAAGCGGTCCCGGGTGACAGGGCAGACCAGTTGCTCCTCCTTCAGGGAAGGCACCACCTGGCCCTTCAGGAAGGCAGGGCCAGCACAGTAGGTCTGGGTGTTGAAGAACCGGTCGCTATACTGGTACAGCCAGTTGAAGAGGTAGGCCAGGTGGCAGTCACACTGCCAGGGGTTGCCAGACAGGTCAAGGTTGAACAGGTTGTAGTTGGTGTCCAAGATGCCCTCAGGGAGTGTGGTCAGGAGGTTCCTGGAAAGGCTGAGCAGCTCCAACTTGGACAGGTTCTCGAAGAGGGCAGGGTGCAAAGACGTCAGGTTGTTGCTGTCCAGGTAGAGCTTGGTCAACTTTTCCAGGTCTCTGAAGACCCCTACCGGCAGATGGGTGATGGCATTGTGCGAAAGTCTGAGGGAACTGAGGCTGGTCAGGTTGGTGAAGGCTCCCTCGGCGATGGTCTCCAGCTGGTTGTGGGACAGGGACAAATCTTGCAGGCCCAGAGTCTGGGCAAAGAGGCCAGTGGGCAGTACCCTAAGTGCATTCCCCTGCAGGCTCAGGAAAGTCAGGTGGCCCAAGGAGGAGAAGACAGAGAAAGGCAGGGACCGGATGGCATTCTGCTTCAGGCACAACTTCTCCAGGTGTAGAAGCTGCGAGAACACTTCCTGGGGCAGCTCCGAAATGGCGTTGCTGTCGAGGAAGAGTTCCCGCAGGTTGCCCAGTTTGCCAAACACTCCCTGGGGCAGGCTGGAGAGGGCGTTGTAGCTCAGTTTCAAGGTCTGCAGGTTGCCAAGCGGGTCAAACAGCTCCTTGGGGAGCTGGGCCAGGTGGTTCTGAGCCAGGTTAAGGGTCTTCAGAAGTCTCAGAGGCTGGAAGAGCCTGCCAGGCAGGGCCTGGAGCCGATTGCCCTGCAACTGGAGGGTCTCCAGGGCATTCATGTTGTGGAAGAGGTCTTCCGGCAGGGCCTCCAACATGTTGAAGTTGAGGGTGAACTTGGCCAGTGAGGTCAGGTTGGAGAAGATGGCGGCACTGAGGTTGGAAAATTCACTGCCGGTGATCTCCAGGTCTTTGAGCCTAGGCAGCCCCCCAAAGGCATCCAGCCCAAAGTGAAAAAGTGGGGTGTTGAGGAAGACCACCTTGGTCAGGTTAGGATTACCCTCAAAGGTCCTGGTTCCCACTGTGGTGAATGAGGTCTCTACGAAGACAATGCCCGTGGCGTGCGGCGGGATGTCACGGGGGATGGTGACCAAGGCCTTGTCGGAGCAGAACACCTCCCAGGTGAAGCAATCACAGCCCACAGGGCAGGACTGGGTGAGCCTGGCCAGAAGCAGGAGGCAGGCCCAGTGCAGCCAGGCTCCAGGCAGCATCTCCTAGACCCGAGTGGGAAAAGAAAGTGGGAGAGGAGCCTTTACCAAGGCAGCTAGTGTGACCAGAAACTAGACCAGCATCTAGAAGAGGGGTCTTTGTTCTGTCAGGAGGCCACCCATTTGGGGAACAGTTTATCATTTCAAGAGTTATTTTCTTTTTTTCTTTTTTTTTTTTTAAAGATTTATTTATTTATGCATACAAGAACTGGGGTATAGGCCAGAAGTATGGGAGGTTGAGAGGATTCACCAGAGACAGAGTGGGGAGCAGAACAGACAGAATGACAAAATACACTGCTGAGGGGAGCAGCGGGCGAGTCAGGAGAGGTCTGCTGCGCCATGTGGATCACCTCCGTGGCCAGGGATCGAACTCGTGCTGCAGTGGGTGGTGATAGCTTCATAGTGCTGAGACTAACCTCTTGTGCCAACAGGGAGGTCCCTCAGGAGTTATTTTCATACCACTTCGCAGGAGGCTTGCAAGGCCAATGGCTCTCTCCTCCAACAGCAAGGGTCACCTGGCCTGCCTATGGTCCCCCTGCACCTCAGCGCACTTCAGAGCCTAATTATGAGGAGGTCCTACATGTGCTCTTTGCATGTCTGTCTGTTCTTTGCATGTCTATGCAGGGACAAACCAAACTCTTGAGAAAAGGTCTGGCTCCCCCATACTGCTGCTAAATGCTCCCCTCTATCCCCACCATGAGGGCACCCATGGAATTTTCCATTTATTCATCCCAGGTGCAGTAATTGCGCATCAATAGCTTTATTCTTTAAATAAGGGAAGGGGACCAGGTTTTTAATTCATTAAACACTAATTTTTTTCATGTCAGCTTCCACCCACAGGTCATAAATTAGAAATGTAGCTTTTGTTTCTCACTCTTTCTTTTATGTTTGAAGCATTAACCAATATATTAAAAATTGAGAAACGTTACATTAAAAATTCTGATCTAGGGGCCGTGGGCTCACATTCCTACATGACAAGACCAGCTAGGGTTTACTAGCCCCACCCCATCAGAGGGTGTGCACCCCAGGTCACTGCTGCTCTCTCCAGCAACATCATTTCCATGGCTAGGAGTATTCAAGTACTGTGAATTCAAGCCCCAACTCCCATCATGTTCCCGCTGTGTGACCTTGGGCACATTACTTATCCAGCTGTGCTTCAAGTTCCTTATTTGTAAAACCTAGAAGGAAGGAAGGGAGGTAGAAAAAGAGGGAGGCAAAGGCCCTCATGCAACATTGCAACATAATCCTAGTTTTTCTCAATTCACCTGTCTTCAGTGAGAATTCACATGGAGATTTCCCCAAAGCCCTTTGCTGGCTGCCTCTCTGCTGCCCTCTGCTGGTTGCCTTTTCCATGGCCTGATTCTGGCTGGCGCCAAAGGGCACCCACTGTGTGCAAAAGTCTTCAAGCAAACACGGTGCTTACAACCGTCCCCTGTACCCTCCCCTCATTCAGATATTCAATATTTCTCCGTTTTTCCAGAATTTTCTTTTCTTAATCAATAGAAAGCCACAATTTCTCCCTGAGAAAGTGCATACCTCTCCCTTGAGAGTCCTCTGATGCTCACACAGATGCTGAGTAAGCTATAAGGTGCAGGCTGTGGATTTTACATGAAGGTTGGGAAGGGCTAAACAAGTGACTGATCTGCCTGCCCCAGGACACGACAGGGAAAGGAACACGCCTCAGTCAAGTATGTGCCTCCAGGTTCTGGGACCCTGGGAAAAGGAGATTTCATATTCTTTCTCATGAGTTGTTTGCAGAGGCTACAGATAAAGCCAGCGTGCCCTGGCTGGAGAGGGATGAGGTAGACATCGCCCCACCCACACCTGCCACCTGGGCTGCCCTGAGGGCTGCCCTTGCCCCCCCCCCCCCCCCCCCCGCACAAAACCCTGAACGGTTTTGACAAGAGCCTTTCCTGACAGCCTCCCCTGTTCCTTCCTCTCAGCCCTGGCAGAGTCCTCCTGAATGTCAAGCTCCTGGCTGTCCCTTTTTGAGAAGACAGGAGCGTGCTCACAGCTCTGTGCTCAGCTTCCAGCATCATGTTGACTTATGTGGCTCAGTTCTAGCTGCTGAACTGACCCCTCAGGGCTGGAGTCAGCAACCTGGCAGGCAGAGCCATGCTTCTGGAATTGCTCAAGCCTGGAGTAAATGACCACCAGACAGGCTGTGAGAGCAGCCTCAAGTCCTCCCTCCCCCAGAGGGGAGCCATTCTTATTTATAACAAGCCATAATGTCACCCACACACCCATCCCTTCCTTAATAACCACTTTTACTCTTGGTTTTCAAAGGGCCAGAGAACATTGGATCACATACACTGGACATAAGGCTCTGAAGGCTGCCTGGCGGGATCCTCACAGAAAGAGTGAGCAAAGAACCCTTCTCCATCCTCCTGCCCCCTGCTCCAGGGTGTCTGCAGGGGGTACTGTGGGCATAACCCAGGTGCTTTTCCAGATCCCTCCTGCTAAAGTGGGAGGTGCCCATGAAAGGAAAGCTAAAGCTCCCTGGAGACAGTGTGCTTCACCCACTGAGACAAGCTGAGGCCTCCTCTCCTGCTTGCCTGTGCCTCTAACAGTGGGTAACTTCTAATCCACTGTTGTTAAGAAATAATGTGCTTAGCACTATTTACTACAGGCAAAACCTGGAAACAGCCCAAATGCCCAAAAACAGATGACTGGATCAAGAAGATGTGGCATATATATACTATATACACAATGGAATATTATTCAGCAATTAAAAAAGATAAACTCATGCCTCGCAGCAATGTGGATGGAACTAGAAGGAATTATGCTCAGTGAAATAAGTCAGAAAGAAAAATAAAAATATCAGATGGTTTCACTTACATCAGGAATATAAGGGAACCAAATAAGACATCACTGTAAAAAAATAATAACAGTACAAAACACAACAAAGCAAAAATGGACAATTATAAATCAGAGACATCCTGCAGGGGAGGAGGAGGGAGAAGGATCAGAGGGAGGCAAGGAGGAGCACAGGGGGGCTGTGGTGATGGTGCCCGGGTGCATTGGGGAAGGAAACTTTCCTTCCCCAATGCACCCGAGGTGAAGAGGGGACTACACCCGAAGGGGTGGGGGGGACGCAAATATTGTTTAAAAATGAACAATGATGTAAAAAATAAAAAAAATTAATATTAAAAAAACAAACAAATAAATAAAATTTAATTTTCAGTTAAATAAAAAAAATTGTAAACAAACAAAAAAAAAGAAATACTGTGCTTTAGAAGTTTCTAACAAAAGTCACCCAATTGATGCATAGAAAATACAGAAAACCAAGCAAGTGCAGACAAATCAAATTCTGGTTGGGTGATGGCAGGTGGAGGGTGAGGGGGACACTAGTGGCTGAGTGGAGGGTGGCCACAAAGCTCTGTAATTTCCAGTAAATCTGGATATTCCCAGAACAGGGAAACTGCCCAAGCTACAGCAACTGCCCCAAGAGCACATGGCTAAGAAGGGAGAACCACTGGCTGAATATAAGCAAGGTGCTTGCAGCCACCCCTCACGGTAAGGCAGTGCATGGGGTGGGTGGCAGGCCCGCTCCTCACATTTGTGCCCATACGCAAGGGAACCTCACCGCCTATCTCTCCCTGCTTCCCCCACCTAACTGTCGTGTAGTGTGAATGGAGACCCCACCCACAGCTCCCCCTGTACCTCAGAGGGTTTGTGCTTCTGTGACATGATCAATCTCAGGAAGATGGACCTAGGGGAGGGGTGACCATCCACACAGCCCACGGGTCTTTGGTCTTGCAAACTTCTCCTCCCTTGGGAAGGAGGAGGCAAAGCCAGAAGAGGGCCTCTAAAGTACAGGGCAAGACTCCTCTTGCCCCAGTCTATTGGGGCTGGAGCAAGCAGGAATAATACTCAGAGGATAATAATAATTATTTCCAGTTGATCCACATTCAGCCCAAGTCTCATTCTCCCACGCTGAGTTTGTGTTCTGGAGTCAGACATCAGGTTCAAATCCTATCTCCATCCCTTTTTAGCTGTGTGGCCTTCACTGAAATACTTACTCTCTGTGCTTCAATTTTCCTGGCTTCAAAATGGTGAGCTGCAATATTACCTCCCAGGGGGTTGCTGCAGGGACTCTGTGAGAGAACAGTTGGCCAGTGCTCAGCCTGAGCTTCGCACAGAGTGAGCGTTAGCAAGATCAGGGTGATCCTGAGTTCAGGTCAGCCCAGCTCTTTTCTGAAGTAGTTAGAGATTGTAGAGGTTATCCCACCACCTCTCGTGGACCAGCGAGATGCCTCTCTACAGCATCTTTTTCTAGTTCTTTCCTCCCAAGCAAGGGAAATGTGTCCTTGGCTAAGTGGAGCAGATTCAGATGGCTCAGGCCAGGACGTCCGGGATGTGGACCCCTCCTGGCCCACCCTCAAGAGCAGGATCTCTGGGGTGGTCTGGACTGGGAAAGTGCCCCTCGGCATTGTGGAGGCTGGCACCAGGGGGCCAGGGGGGCAGCAGTCAGAAGAAGGAAATGCTGCTTCATTTATGCAGAGACTGGCACATGCCTACAAAAATGTTCCATGTTCTCAGCAAGTCAAGGAAATTTGACTTTTTTTTTGGTTAATTGTTGCAAATGTACTCTTTCCTCTTCTCACATTTCTTCTGCATTAGTACATTTCTGTGTGCGCCACAAACCTGCTTATCATCTACCATGGAACTAACCCTCACTTCTCCCAGAGTGATGGAGCCAGTACCCAGACCCAGCGCCCCAGGCACTGCTGTTTCAATCAGACTTGTCCACACCAGCATCTGCCTTGTCGCCAGCACTGGATTCTGTCACCACCACCCCACCCCCGGGCCCCAGCACAACTAGGAGCGGGAAGAGGGACTTCCAAGTTTCGTCTGGAGCCCCTGATTGCCTCATCCAAGTCCCCAGGGAAGACCTGCTGTTCCCTGCACCCCATCTTCTTTCCTTTTGACCTGGGGAAACAAACCAGGTAACTGAGACCAGCAGACCTGGGCTGGGCTCCTGCTTCTTCCTCTCTCTGCCG